ACATTTTCCAGCTCCAACAACCTCTCATCTTTATCTTATCTAATCTCTTCCAACATGCTTTGCATACCAAGCTTTGACAAGTGTCTACTAACCAACAAAGTGCTGCTGGGAAATGTAATAGCTTGACTCAATGAAATAAAATGTTTCAGAAAACTGCAAATTGCACATAATTGCAAGATAATATAATGTCATCATATTCGTCATATAGGCCTGTGTGAAGCATATATAAAACTTGACACAAAACACGCAGCAGCACATGCATATTATGACGTCTTTATTTTCAAGCACTATAAAGACGCATTGTATTGCATTTTACGTAAGTAACTGTATCATATCACAGTTCTAGACGCATTTCCCTCCATCTACACAATGGAAACACACACCTACGGCACAGTTTTGTCTAACGTGTTTATTAATAGAGTCAGTCTTCTTTAATCTGTATACAAGAATCTAATTTGACTATACTGTACTTAGCAAACTCACAAGCTTTACAATGATTGAATATTGGTATCTAAAGCAGTATTGATAAGTAACTATTGATGTTTCAAAATGATTATCGCTGTTGAAGCAAAAGAGAAATTTGTTCATTGTGTACTTAAGACATGTTGAAAATGCTCAAAATATCCAAATATATCACATGGTATTGCAGAGTAGAGAAGACAAATGCACAATAAAAAAAAATAAAAAAAACAGGATTATATGTGTATGTGAGTGTAGATTACCATTCATGAGTTACATAACCCTGGGAATGTTTTTCTGTTCAACCTCAGATTAAAGCTGTCTGTTCTCCCTCCTGATCGCACAAAGGGAAGGTGCTCAGGGATGATATCTTAATTTTAAAGCCTTTAGATAAAGGCTGGCAGACTAACAGAGACATGGGAGGAGCAGTCTTCATCATATTTCATAGGAAAGCTTGTCTTTTGTGGTCACTAGTCATATTTTACAACCTGACTTCTAAAGTTCAGCATACACAAGCGCTATTCACTGGAAGCCATTAAAGATAGTAGGTTCTTAGGAAGAGATGTGACAGTCATTAACATTTCTTAGTTCTTATTTCACCCTCAACTCAAGCCTACAGTTAATAGAAATTTCAGTACTGTCAATTATTTGTGTATTTCTGTCATTTGAATGTATTATAAAAGTAGATAGATCATGGTGAAGTTTACTGCCAAAGATTTTATACAACACTTAAAAAAAAATTCACAACAAGCAACATAAGGCACAAACAGAGAACACAGAGATCTGATGAAAGCCCTGCTTAAGTTGTATACAACAAAAAGGCTGCACTGTGATGCCAATATACTCTATGTAAAATAAGGACACATATATTTTAAAAAAACATGCACATATGTACTTAAATATACATACACAAGTAGACTATATGACTAACAAATTAAAAATGTCATATTTTCTGCCACCCCAGACTAATTTTTAACAGATCTTTTTTTGCCCCATGTTTTTTTGGCTGCCCTTTTTAAAATAAAGTAGATAATGTCCAACCATATCCAGTATCATTAAGATAACATATGGGCTTTTTCATGGAACAGAAAGCATTTTCCCTGCTGTCAGACATGTAAAGATACACAATGAGTAATATTCTTACCTATAATATTGGATAGCAAACATATACCACCAAAAACACAGAGTTGTTGGCTTTCCTAACCATGTAATAAAATGTTCCAACACAAACTCTGGAGTATAGCTCCCCGAGGGGCCAGTGATAATGGTGGCTGGGGAAGATGTCTGTGGTCACATTGAGCAATATTGACGGATCTCCTGCTGCCATCTGTGTCCTGTCTGGGTTAGGGGACCTGTATTTAAGACTAGCCATGCTTGTGGGACACAGGAATCACTGTGCACAGTTTACCTGACAGAGTGAGCCAGGAATCATGCATATTGGATGCAGGGCAGTGGCAACACTTCCGTGCATAAGAGATGAGAAAACAGAGGATGGAGGACAAATGTGTGTGTGGTTGTTGTCATGGATATGGATTGAGGTCATGGAGGAAGGTGGAGTTAGTTGGAGCAGACAAATGAAGCGACTTATGACCTTGGCATGTCACCTTGCCAGCCGAGACCCCTGAGCAGGCAGACGGGGGTGGGGTGGGGGGGGCTGCTGAGTTGCTTTACCTGCTGGCTCCATCCATTTCACATCGCTGCATCATGATCTTCACTTACACATCTCTCTGTGGAGTCTGGGGAGGCTACAGATTACAGAGCATCATGATATTCAATCTATGACGCACTGTAGTCACTCCCCCACCACCCGCTTTTTTCTGCTAGCTTAGCATGTAGAAATAACTAGATGTTTACCAAGTGATCACTCTCTGATTTTACCGATAATCAGTGCCTAATTATCTGGTTGCTTCCAGGAAATGTCTCAGGAAATTCTCTGGAAATTAACTGGAATTTACTGACCTGTAAAATAAAGACTTACTGAACATTGCAAAAACATTGATTTTCTAAACTTTTGGCATTTGGACAGATGAATACTACTTGGAGAACTCATTGGTTTTAGTATTTATCTACAATTTTGCAGTCAACACCACCCTCATATTAACAAGCATCTCAGCAGTTCAGTATACATGCCAGGTAAATTATACAGTCTGTGAACCATAGAAATTAGCTCAGTAAACACACTGAACAGCCCACAGTCTGCCATCCAGAAGACACACACACAAGATTTGAATAAGAAAATGATGACAAAAGTGTCACTATTCATCATAAATCTTACAACTGATCACACATACAAGGTGACAACAGCCACATGCATTCCCAGAAAATAGTTTAAAAAGCAAATGTTTTAGAAGGGGAGCAATAGAAGAGGTGTGTAAAGGTACTGTATGTATTTATGGATTAATCTAAGAAATACCACTCTGTAGGAAAAACTTTCCAGTACATCATATAGTTTAAACAGGGTGCTGTCTGATGCAAAATTTTGTTTTCCATGAGCAGCAGAGGTTTTGTGGAGTGATCCACAACCACACCTCAAAGTTTTCCCTGTGCTCCTTCAGGTATTTATTGCCTGTTGCATAACAGTGTATTGGTCACATTGTAAAACCATTGGAATTTTCTGCAGAAGATGAACATCAGATTGTTAAATTAATAAGAAATCATTTGATAATCAGTGCCAAGATTGAATCTGTCATCATTTTGATTCTGGCACAGATAAATCAGCCTCCAAGGTTACCTCATTATGGGTGCAATAAATCTGTCACCGTGTGTTTGTCTTTAAAACTGAATCAAACTTGAGAGCATTAGAACATCAGAGTATCATGCATGCATCGCTCTGTGTACTCAGGCACAGTGATGGGAAAACCGAGGCAGCTCGCGTGCAAGACAAACCCCCAGACATACCACATAAGGCAGGGAGTGTTTTTTGGCAAGCACAGCAAGAATGCTATTGTTCGACAGACAAAAATGATATGAGATGTCTGTTTGATATGAGACACTTCTCTCGCTGTGAGGCGCTCGCATTGTTCTTGCACTGCAGTTTCATCTTTCATGAATCACAAAATAATCTGTTTTTGCATCCACTCAAAAGAGAACTTTTCCGTCTTTTTCTTTCATTTCTATTCAGTCTTTCAACTTAAGTGCTACTACAGTTACAGTAAGGATGCAATACTGATTTAAGAAACATTCATTATTAGGTTGGATTAGATGAAATGTTACTAAAATAAATAAACTGGAGTTCCAAACACAGATGATTCATTCTTTCAAATTCTTATAATTTTTCAATGAAAAATAGATTTGAGATCTGTCTTCTAAAAAGCAGCACCATTAAATGTTGGTTTTGAGAAGCAGAAATGAAAAATAAACCGCGCTACTAGTGCTGCAGTTTCAGTTGGCTTCATAGGTGGAACATGTGTAACCCTACAGTTTTTGATGTATTAAAGCGAAATTGCAGAGGATATGTCTGGTGGTAAACAGACATCTATGAGTTGACACAGGCTCCAACCCCCCTGCTGACTTTGTCCTTGTAAGGAGACTCCGGGTGTGTGCGTTTGACTGAGTCATGCCAAAGGTACAGCAAAGGCAGAACCACAGCCTGGAGAGAAGCCAGACAGAATACCTGTGCTGTAGTGTCATCTTTGTTTGGATTGGGCATTTTTGTGTGGATACTTGTAAAGAGACAGTGAGTTTTCATTTGACTTTTATAGATTGCTGAATTGTAACAGCTACATAAATAACCCTGAGAGACAGAGACTGTCCCTTCACTCATGTTGTCCAGTTATCAGCTTCAGTACTGAAGAACGAGTAGCGGTGGCCGTTCACAGGGAGCAACAACACAGGTGATGCAGATGCAAACTGGGTTGTGTCTGCAGAGGATGTGATGCAGTTGTGAACTCCAGTGACCTGAGCTGGAGTCCTGCGGCAGACAGGCAGAGTGTTTTGGACACATTAAAGCAGCACTGCCAGCAGTTTTAGAACAAGGCTTCAATCACAGTGCGAGCTGGCGTGCCCTGCCAAAGAATACTTCTCTCTAATTAGACAGTGTACATTCAGTAGATCCTGAATGGAAACAAGCTGAGGTTTGTTAAGAAAGTGAATCTCTAGTGAGGCATGTCGTGATACCAAAGTGGCTTCTGGCTGTGTTTGTGTTTCTCCATGGAAAAGGCTATGGGTAAGCTAATGTCCCAGAATTTAGTTGTGGACATCAGATGCCAGCTTTTCTCCCTTCCAGTAAACATATAGAGTCAGGCCTGTGTTGCTTAGACCAGTAACCTACACACACATCTTCACACTGACTCACCCAGACACCCTCTCTACTAGAAACCCCCCCTCTGTTTTATCCATCACCATGCATGTGTCCCACAGTGGCTGTGCAGTTAGTTAATAATACTGAATGAGTTCCTTGTCCAATTCAAACCTCATAATGTCTTTTGGGAAGCTTGCGTGACTCAGCATGTCTGCAATCTCATCTCCCAGGAAACAAGATGGATGTGTTTTAGGAGCATAGTGAAGTGACTGCTGCACTACTGGCTTTGCGTTCTGTGCGATACAGCCTGCACGGCAACTAAACAGGCTCATAATTTTGTTTATACATAGCTGCCATGGTGCAGAGGAGTGACACAACCCATCACCAGAGGCTAAGAGACCCATGCTGCTAATCATAGCTTGCAGCCAGTCGGGGGGTGTCTGGCACTTTATTTTTAGCCACACTGTTGGTGTGGCTCTAGGGATGGCAACGTTAGTCAGCCGTTTTGTCCGCTGCTTTTGTCCAGACTGAAAAACCTCAGAAAACACTAGAGACTACTTGATACACACGCCCATGTCACTCTCACTCATGTTCCCTTAACTTTTTATCTAGCACCATGGTCAGGTCACAACAAGTGTCAAATCGTTTGGCTTACAACAAAGCACTTGTGACATTCCCATGAGACTCTGCTGTATATTGTGTTTCTAATGACCAAGTCTTAACATGCAAAAATGTTAAACTAAGATGGTGAACTTTGTAAACTTACCTGCTTAACAACAGCATATTAGCATTGTCATTATAAGCTCAGCAGCGTTTCGCTTCAAGCACAGAACTGATTAGTCTTTTGTCATCTTATGTTACTTACAAATGTACTAAAGCAATAATGTGAGCTCCTTGTTAGTGTGGCTTGTCTGCCAGTCTGCCAACTATGATGAATAATTCAACCTTCCTTACCTTCAATAAATACTGGAATTACTTTATTCTTTTTTCAGATCCCCATTAGCTTCAACAAAGCAGTGTAGACATTCGTCTACTACTAATGGTTTTGCATACTAGTCAGTAGCTTTAGTCTGTCTCAGTAGGTGTTATCTCTGTTATATGCATGACCAAATATCTTCATTTGCTTTAAAGCATTGCTGTTCAGATCCTATAAACAGATTCCCCATGCCTGAAGTAGGAAGGAATTCAGGCTGCAGCTTTTTGGGCGTGTTAATGCTCAAATGTCCCTCTGCAGTCACACAACGGTTCAAAACTATTCATGAGCAGCGTTTGTTGTGTTTGGAGTTGGATGGAACTTCATTCTTCTTTATAGCTGTTTTACTGAGGGGTTGTAAAGATGACTGTACAAAGGAGAAAGAGACAAAAGATTGAACGCAGCTAGGAAAGTGGGTGTGAACCTATACTGTCAAGGGCATTTGTAATCAGAGATGGGAGTATTGTCCTGACAAAAGTACCACTGCCCTTTCAAGCAGCCCCCAGGGGACCAGGCCCAGCGGTAACTGACCCACCTCTGTGCTCTGTGTTGCAGATGGGAGGAGGAGCTGTCCAAACGAGAGCAGCTGGAGTCCACGGTGGAATCCCTGCAGCAGGTTGTGAAACACAAACAATAAAATACAGCACATTCCACTAACACAGTTATGCACAATTATGTGACATCTTGCCAGTGGTGATTTATCACATGCAGAGATGGAGCACAAATAATGTCTGAGGGAAAGGGTATGTACACATATATTTTCAAAACAGCAACTACAGCACATGCATAAACATTTATAGCTCAGTCTTTCATGGTGTTTCATGCAGCGTGGACTTGGCAGAGCTCGACCGGAAGCAGCTACTGTGCAGCCGGGAAGATGTGTGTCAGATTAGAAAAATCATATTACAAACCCATCATCCAAACCCATTATGCATCTGCTCAGAGCAGGTGGAAGGACAGAGATGTAGAAGCAAAATCAGTGAAAAGTGTCACACCTTGGGGCCGTATCACAACACGTACACCATCCCAGCTGGTGTGAGTCGGCATCCTGCTGCCCTCTCTTTGCTTTTGCACAAATCAATTAGTGGCAGCACGCATGTTTGCCTTGGATTGTGGGTCAGCAAAACCCTAGATAGAGAGGTGGAGTGGAGTACCCAGGGGGCTTCAGCCTTTTAGAGTGCACAGGCAGATGTCGCAGGTTATGAGAGAGCCGGATATCTGCTCAGTGATAGTAAATTCAGTGCAAACAGCCATTTACTGTTAATGGCCCAGAGCCAGAGCACTGTCAATGTGCTGACTAAATACAGAAACAAAAACTGTGATGTTTACCCGCTAAACAGGATAGCCACCCGTTTAGCGGTAAATTATGTGAATAAGATGTTTAGCAAGCTCCTCAGAAGGGATGTGGGATGTCTGACAACCTCAAAGTGATGAGCAGACCCCAGGGTATCACTGCACCCAGCTAACAAATAGTCAAACAGAGCTGCCTGTAAAACCACAAGTTTGTTAATTAGTGAGCTTTCGAGTTCATGGTAGGCAGATTTTGTTGCCTTTAGACAGCCAGGCTTGTTTCACCGTTTCGTCTTTATGCTAACTTAAGCTAACTGATTGTTGGCTGTAGCTTTATATTTACCATAAAGACATGAGAGTGAAATTGACCTTCTCATCTAACGCTCAACACAGAAGCAAATAAATATTTTGCAATAAATGAAACTATTTCTTTACATTTAATTCTGTGGGAACCAAATTCAACCTCTTATGTGAACTTAACATGCATGTGGTTGTCTGCCCTTTCCTTATGTAGCGACAGGTCCAGTTATAACATGTGTTGTGTATTGCTTAATGCTTACAGCTGAGATCCACATTTGCATCATGTAAATATGAAATTAAATATGAAAATTAAAGTAGACAATAACTTTTGGTATTGAGATAAACAGTTAAACAGAGTGCTAGTGTTAAACTGTGTAAGAGTATGCAAGCTTTATTTGCTTAGATGGGCCTTATCTGACTGCAGCGTTTATCTACTGTAAATGTAGCTACATTTGAATTCACTCATATTTACAAGACATCAAACAGCCAATGTGTTTTATGACCTCAATTCCCTTTAATGTGTCTCTGACACTTTAACTCTGTGTGAAAGTGCCGACCTTGGACGCCATCTGGCTCCGCCCATGACTCTAACTTTGACAAAGTCTGATATGCTGCCCTATTTTTACAGGTTTATTGGAGTATTGTCAATAAACCTAAAACCTACCTCAATGTGTATTATATGTCTGTATCAGTTTAGGAATGGTTATGGGACTTTATGTTATAAATATTCAAACTTTGGTAAGCAGAGTTTATGTGGTTAAGAAAATATTCCACCAACCTTTTTAGGATCTTACCTGTATGTATCTTGTATTAAATGCTTCACTGTGATGTTCACTCAGAGTGTCCGGGAGTCATCCGAGATCCAGGATGAGCTGAACGAGAAGGTGGACAGACTCAAGGCTGAACTCGTGGTCTTCAAGAGCCTGATGGGTGATGTAAGTATTTGGTCAGTGCTAAGGTGATGTCATCGTCACCTCCCTAAGCCTGACAAAGCACACAGATCACATAAAAAGTGCTGGATTAACTTCCATTGCATTTTGTTTTCCTAAACATGCCTAAGCATCATTCTGGTAAGCACTGTCATTCATACAGGTCTGAAGAACAACACTAAGCACACACCCTTCCTTCCTTAATTGGATTCAGGAAAACTACACAAAGCCAGAAAGCCCCCGACCCAAACATTCTTCAAAAAAGCTGAAATAGCAGCTGTAGACCAGGAGCCCTTCCTGTTCCATATAGCCCTGTATTGTTCCCTGGCAGGTCTGCTCTAGTGTGACATACAGTCATAATATACTGCAGCAAGGCCAGCCACGGGTTGTGCTGGTTCAGGAATAAATAGTCCAATGATGCTGGAGAGCTTTGTTGTTTATCCTGCTTGTCTTCATTTTAGCATCTGTTCATTGTAGATTTTTTTTTGGAACATTTATTAAAACATATCCTTGACAAATGCTCTCACACATACATACAAGCGAAGATAAAATTTTTACATATAAATAAAATAAAAATCCAGAGAGAAACTTAAATTACCTTGACCTAGACAGTTTCTCCTAGGTATAAGCTAACAGGCTTCCATTTTTTTAAAGTAGTCCTCCTTCTGCAGTCTCAAAGTAGCTGTGATATTTTTCATATCTTTCACCACTTTCACTCTTCGAGTCCATTGTTCTATTTTTGGTGGATCTGGTTTAAGCCAATTCCCTGTAATTACCTTATGAGCGATCAGTATAAGGACTCGTAACATATACCGTACATCTTATTCCCCTCTCCCACATTGACTAACAGGCTTCCATTTTTTTAAAGTAGTCCTCCTTCTGCAGTCTCAAAGTAGCTGTGATATTTTCCATATCCTTCACCACTTTCACTCTTCGAGTCCATTGTTCTATTTTTGGTGGATCTGGTTTAAGCCAATTCCCTGTAATTACCTTATGAGCGATCAGTATAAGGACTCGTAACATATACCGTACATCTTATTCCCCTCTCCCACATTGAGTATTGGATCACTTAGAACTAATTGGTGGATTTCAAATGGTGCATTAAGATTCAGTATCTTTTTGATTTCTCTAATCACCCCCTCCCAGTAGTTTTTAATCTGTGGACGTTCCCAAAAAGTATGTGAGAAGTCTCCTATTTGACCACATTTCCACCAGCAGAGGGGGATAGATTTTTTATGTTATTTTCTGTGCTTTACTTCATCTCTGATGTGGGAATCGAGAGACGGGTAAGTGATGTAGAAGAGGAGAATCTCTTAGGATATGTAGATTATTTTATATCTAGAAGTGCTTACACATTCTGTATTTTGTGACTGTCTTTGGATGTGACAACCCTTGTGTCATTGCCCAGAAAAATTAATGATGTCAGGAGGAATCAATGTGTATGAGGCATGTTTGCACAGTCCATACTTGCTCTACCAAACGTCTTCAAACTGAATATTTTTGCATATTTTTATACTTACAAAATAATGCAGAAGTTCTAGTACTGTAGCCCCTGGAGGCACATTTGTGATTTGTGATATTAGGCTATATAAATAAAAATTGCCTTGATTTGACTTGACCCGATTGTACATAGATGGAGGTTTTAATAGTAAAATCTTTATTTAACCTCTAAAGAAGAAAAAAAATTCAAGAATCTTGGCCAAAACTGGCAGCTGAAAAAGGTGATTTGCATACTTGTAATGTAAAACAGATAAACCAAAATAGTTTTGATAGTAGTTTGAATACAGTAAACACCTCCAGTTTGTAATGCAGGCATTCTGTTATAAATTCTAAAACCAGATGTATAGATAATCTTGATGACATTATCAGGGATGTTCTAATAACAGATACACAGAAGACAATATACATTATCAAAGTATGCTGGGTAGTGCTCCTGGTGTCAGCTAACCAGAGTTGTGTGAATGTGAGGATAATGCGTGTGTGTGGGCGTGCATGTTACTGCCTGTCATAATGTGGGCAAGGCTGCTTACTATACAGAAGGTCTACAAAATTAGTTTTGAGTGCATTTGTATACTGCTGACCGTATGTTTGGAAATCTTGGCACAAATGCTGTTTTCTCGCATTATCCTCACATTCACACAACTCTGGTGGTTTAATCCACTTACTTGGTCTCAGTCTCACTCACACTCATGTCCGTATAGTGTCAGTGATACCGCACACAGTATCGACACATTGAGAAATGCAACGTAACCTCAAACTGCCAGCAATTTAACATTTATCACTGCAACAGTAACAAACATGTTCAAGAGAGAATAACAGAGAAAGAGTGCGTGAGATACAACAGTAGGAGGTCAGCATTTTGAAAACAGAACAATGACATTTTTCAATATATTCACTGTTCAAAAATTAAAACCATACAAACAAACAGAATAAACAAACTTAACATACACAGTAAGATACAGTTCTGTCGTCAATCAGAGCTGTTTGCATGTGTCTGAATTCGGTCTCCGACTTTAAGCGTGTGGGAAGGTTTAGCTGCTACATACAGTACTTAGTGGATGTCAACCCGGGATTAAGTGTTCAATGGACAGGCACTGGTATGAACATGATGTAGCCAACGCCACTTAAATGAAAGATGTAATATGAACATAAAACAATCAGCTGATGTCAATCAACTCAAACATTTTTCTGCTGCAGTGCATCAAGTTCACATACTGAGGCTTACTCAGTGTGAGAAGGTGTTTGAATTGCATACCACTCTAAAACCTCTATCCATTTCCACACAGCAAATGTCCGACCTGGACTCCAAGATTCAGGAGAAAGCCAGGCGGGTGGACATGGACATCTGCAGGCGAATTGATATCACAGCCAAATTGTGTGATGTGGCTCAGCAACGCAACTCAGAAGATATGTCAAAGATGTTCAGCGTCAGTCCAGCCAGGTCACTCCCGGAGAAGGTGGGCATTACTGTTTGTCAGAGGGACTGAAGAGTAATCACAGAAAAAAAAATCTCAATTCTTTTGTGAAAGAAAGAGTCGGCAATCTATAGATGAAATCCGAGCTGCCAGTGGCTGTCTGTGTATAGTGACTTTGTTGCTATTTTTACCAACTGATCACATACAGAGTGAACCCTCTAAAGGTGCAGGGACGCATGTTTGTATGTCCACAAATACAGTGTGCTCAAACAAATTGTATAAACAAACACCTTGAGAAAACATAGTGACTCTTGCATGCTGTGCACATGCCCACACATACACACACACTGTGAAATGCTGATGTGGTAACTCTTCACTGCACACAATGTTATCACATCACAAATAAAATAAAATGCTCCATATACACTGTGCTGATGAACATAGTGCACATGACCAAGGATATGGTGAAAAATAATCAAATCAAATCCAATAGTCTTCTTTATTAAATATGTATTTATTAATCAATACTTGCCACAGGGCTCAACAGGCTCAGCATGTGTGTTAATGTCCCTGCGTGTTGTGCAGAGTGCCGTGGCCTGCTGCAAGAGAAAAGAGCGCAAAGCAACATCAGATGAGGAGGCTACGGAGATGGACGCCGAACCCAGCCCTTCAGAGGAGGAGGTCCCAGGGTCGCTCAACATCACGGATGAAATGAAACGCATGCTCAATCAGCTGTAAGCGACATCTCACGCACAGACACAGTCACCACCAGTGCACACACATCAGAACCAAGTGCCCTCTGCTTTGAATGAAACTGAATAGTCTGCAGTTGCACCAAACCGACACAGTAGCTTCCTCCAGTGTTGTCTTGATACAATTTTGTGTTGCTTCATCTCCCTCTAGTGTGTATACAGAGTGTTGCATCTAATTTACTTAGCTTTGTTAAGGTCACAGTGCTTATTTCCTCAATGCTCTCCAACTTTTTCACTCTCTGCAAACACTGGCTGTTTTGGATTAGCATATTTACTAATCACTAAAATACTTTCAAAATAAAGTTTCTGGCTGTATATTATGCTTGCTTCCAATATCTTTCCTTTCCATTTTTCCATCTTCTTTATAAGCGTGTCTTCCTCTTTGCTGAATCTGGTAGGTGTTATACTTGTTCTTCCTCTCCTCCCCCTCTCTTCTTTCCATTCTCCGTCCGTGTCCTGCGCAGACATTCAGATTCAGATAACTCCTCTGTTGTCAGGCGCGAGACGTTCGAATTCGACGATGACTGTGATAGTCTGACATGGGAGGAAAACGAGGAGACTCTGTTGCTGTGGGAGGACTTCACAAACTACAACGTGCCGTTCACCATCACTGGGGCAACCTGCACAACCAACGGCCCCTGTGATGGCAGCGGTGAAGCTGCTGATCCAGTGAGTCCTGTCTGCATTTACAGTCCTTTAGAAGATTTTCAAGCTCATGCAAGTCAGAGTGGAGATCATTGTTATGGGTGCTGTGTAAGACATCTGCTCATGCATGATGAATGAGGCCTCTGTCTGTTCTCTCTAAGGACTCCCAGGATGGAAGTCTTGGCAGCCTCATTGATGAGACAGAGTCACTATTTAAGACTAGAGAGCAGGAGTACCAGGAGACCATCGGCCAGATCGAGGTAGACAACCTGTGTGTGCATGTGTGAAATCAGATGTAAAAGTGAAAAGTGAAAGTGGTTTTGCATGCATTTTTTCTCTTTTCACTAAAGGGAGGGTAATAAGGAGGAAACAGGGAATGGTCTTGTTTCATTTAGACACTGACGGTTTGGTTTGTAGCTAGTGGGTCAAATAAAATGGCCGGAACGTTCTGTAAACACACTATACGATGTTTGCCAAAATCTCCGATGCACAATTTGGTCAATATTTTTGAAAAAAATCTGTTTTTTTTATGACATTTTTCAGTCCATTACTACATGATGTTTAAAGTGATACACCATATTAAATTCTTTATGCACCTTACATTGTTATGATTAAACTAATTGCACCCATTTAACACATCATTTTGAGATACTAGCTGGGAGTGTTTCCGTTTTTTTTAATAAGTTATAGGAAGGGTCCATTTAAAATTATAGATGCTTTTTTTTTAAAGTGAACAATAAAACCAACAAGTCACCCCCCAAAATGATTTTCATACAGTGCCTTAAATCTTCACTCTGTTTAATCTGCTGTCTTCTCTCAGATGGAACTGGCCACAGCAAAGAGTGACATGAACCGCCATCTGCACGAGTACATGGAGATGTGCAGCATGAAGAGAGGCCTGGACGTGCAGATGGAGACCTGTCGGCGGATGATTAAAGGTGGCAGGAACTCTCCCTCTTTCAGCTCTGTGGCCAGCAGTGACTCAGGGAACACAGATGAGATCCAAGATGAGATTTCGGACAAGGACGCAGAAGCTGAAGTTAGTTGATGGCTGCATAGCTGGGCTTTGTCCCATTTTCTCATGACCGCCTCCTTGTTAAATATGTGCAGAGCTCCACCCTGTAGAGAGGTGGGCCTGTTTAGACCTGTTGAAGTTCTGATGGCCATGCTCACTGACGCAGGCCCAGAACCGGTGCTTTTATACTATTTCTGTTGTTTATAAAATCGTGGTGGGGGCATCTTGGCTTCAAAAAGAGAAAAGGGTGTATATAAGGTCCAAACTGTGCTCTCTTCCTCACTGAGGTCTTGCTGGACCCTTGTCCAGAGCTCCACATCATTTTTCAGAAAGAAAAAGAAATTCTCAAGTTTAAAACTACATGAGCAGTGTTTTCTATAAACTATCCTATTAATGTCCTTTTTTCTAAAGGAATTTAAAATAGTACACATTGTGCTACTTGTTCAGTGAACAATGAATAAATTAAATGTACTCATTCATTTTAGAAAAAAGTTAGTTCGCTTTAATTGGAATAACTTTTGTTTTTGTAGTATTTAAGTCCATGCAATCCAGGTTAACCTGTTGGTTTAAGTGTCTTCTGCCAAGGAGACAAAACAAGAAGTGGAGACAAATGGTGCTGGAGTTCTGGTAGTTTCTGAGGGAACTCTGCAGGGTTGCTAGAGTTGACAGAGGAAAGGAGCACAGCCTTTTGAAGCATCAGTGCACTACTGAAGTTCTATGCAATTTAGCTGGCCTTATTTTCGGACTGGCTTTCACCCTTCCTTGTTTCTCTTAAAACCAATACAATTAGCCTTTTAAGCAAAGCAGGTGTTTTCTATATATCATTGAGACTTTTTTATTTTTTTTTTTTGCATTTGAAACGTTTTTTTCACGAACATCAGCAGCAGAAACTGGAACAGCGCCCCCTCAACAAAGGACTGGTATCTTCACTCGTGACAATAATCGTCAACATTGTTCAGATGCTACTGAACTCACAGAACAATGTGTGCACATCAGAACATATCTTAAATGGCTAAAATATGTTAGTTTTTATAAAGGAAATTAAATAAAGTTATCAAAGCGAAACAAGGCTGTAAAACCAAAGGACTCATATTGAAATGTTTCCATTTCGCCTTCATTCACAATCATCATTTTCATTGCAAAAGCTATTTATTTTTTGTGTGTGTTGTCATTATGAGTTGCTGCCTAAGTGACTACTTCCTGCTGCCCTGCAGGGGGCTCTGTTCCAGACAGGCTGCACCTCTTGCTTAGTCTCTTCTGAATCTGTAAGTGTCAGACTGTACATAGAGGGCTGTAGGCATGTCATCGTATACCCCCGAGGCCTTTTTGTTCAAATTAGTCTTGAGATGTTTCACATTCTCTCCTTCGAGTGCTCGCACTGGATTAACGTAGACACTGACGCATGGGGGGTGGGAGAAGTGATGTTTTTATCGCCTCTGTGTATGATAATGTATGTACGGTTTGCCAGATCAAAGACTAAGTGCTACTTCTATCTTGAGGTTTTACAGAGCAGAATGTTAAAATACAGGCCTTTTGTTATTACAGCATGTTTGCGTGGAGATAAAGAGCTTTGGGTCTTCTTTTATATCATATTTTGAACTAAATAGCTGCAATGCAGACCGTGCGCTGTTTTTAATCAAAAGTGTCTATCCTTATCATTAATTAACCCGTATTTGTGGCAGAAAATGTATTTTTCACCGTTTTTAATCATACTGTGTTAACCAAAAATGTGTTATTGTTGTCATGTATAGCTTTTATTCGTTTAGCATTTTAAACTTCTTTCAGACGTGTTGGTCATATATTGGCCATATCAGATAACCCATATTAAAAGATAACAGATTATATCATGGAAGACTAAGGACCACCGTTACTCACAGAGAGAATTTCATATTCTTTTATGTTTGAGTTGATGTAAAACCAGCCTGATAAGTAACAAAGAGCCATTTTTTATTGGTACTATACTTTGTAGTGATAACATCAGAATTATTTACTGATCATACGGCTGTAACATTCAGAAAGAGCAGGTCTAACACACTACGCTGTCTTTCACATCACTCTCACATCACGCTAACCAGCCAACCAAAGTAAATGAGTATTCTAATATATATGACAATGGGGTAAACCAAGCTACTGTATGGTTTCTACTAACTGTGGAAAGTCTCAGTATTTTTACAAGCCTACTACAGATGTGTTGGTTTGCAGATTTTTTTGTTGTGATTTGGAAAATGTGTTGTTTTCCAAAGTCAGCAATTCTTGCAAACTATAGGACATTAATTGTATTATTATCTCCACTCCCCCATCTACTGAAGCAGGTCCAATTCCAGTTATATCAAAATACTGTAGCAACCTTCCTTGTTTGAATGAGCAAAAACTGTAGCAGTTCAAATCCAGGGACATATGGTGTGCTGTTTCTTAATGGAGACCTTGGTATGTTTTGCTTTACTAAGTGAGTTCTTACCTGCCCAACTTACAGTATGTGAGTTAGTTGTATGTAAACTAGGTTCTGGTGGATGTGAATGTTTCATACTAAAAAGGGTTTTGTATGAGCGGTTTTTATTCAGTGTAGAACTGGGACTACGACTGTGTCAACGTACAGATTTACTAGTTTTTACCGGCATACCTGTTTGCTTCTCATTTCATAACCACAGCAGTGCAGCAATACTTCTGGCCATACTTGGTTAAAATCTACTGAACTGTACTGGATACTGGCCTTTGTGCTGGTACCATCCTGATGATCCATTTTAACTTCTTTGATTTAATTGCCTTTCTTTTTGTTCGAACCATTGATAAAATGTGCTCAGATTATTTCAAAATTATGAATGTACTCAACTGATGCTGGGGTAAAAAGAAATAAAATGGTGGATTGGATAAAAGTTATGACTAAATCTGTTTCTTTTAATATTTCATTCAATAAATTCTATTCTAAATAAAAGAGTTGGCTCCATGTGTTCAGAGTGATTTTTGGGATTTGCAATCTTGTTTGAATTAATATCATCTACAGTCTATGCTGTACCTAAAGTACACACATACTACTGCACTTCTTATAGTACTGATGTACAAATTCTGGATGCTTTTACACTGCAGCTGTAGAAAGGCCGTTAATCTATGAGCGTGCGTCTTGGGAAGCGTTATTTCAGTAAGTAAAATCTAGACTGGATGACTAACGTCTGTCTAGTTCGTCACATAGGTTTACACATGAAAGTCAGTTTATTTGTTGTAAGGAGTACTGCTCAGTTTGTGAAAACAGTTGAATAATATATCTTAAGTCTGGAGGGGGCTCTTTAAATTTAAAAAAACTGTGTTAATGAAGGTCACTGTTGGTTTATAAGAAGCCAAAAATCCAGTGTTTTTTGGAGCAGATGTTTGCTCAAGACATTCCCAACTTCATAAAAGCGATATTAAATTCTTGGATTACAGTTTTCAGTTCAACTGACTATTCACACTCAGTACATGTTGTGTTAATTTAAATTCATTTGTAATTTTGTCCAAACAACTGATCATTACATTATTACACTGCATTTCCACAATTTCCCTTTGGGACAACCCAAGCACTGTATCTTATCTATTTTCAGGTAACTACACGATGTGTATCATTTGTCCACACATACACTATAAATCTGACCAATCTACTTTCATTTAGAAGTTGTAACTGTAAAAAGATAACATATAAACTGTAAAAGCTTGGTTGCAGTAATATTTCTAGTACATCCAGTAACAAAGCAATATTTTGCTATATCTAGAGCAGTGACTCTTTTTGGTGAGAGTATCAGATAAACTTATTTTAGCCACAAAAGTAACTCTTTACATATTTTCTATAAGGATGAATAGTCTTTTAACCACTCCAATGTTCTGTTAATAATATGTAAAAATACATATAAAAACATTAACACTTTATTTAGAATTTTTTGGTTAGAGTTATTACAGTTATAAAAACAATTTCTTTTGCAATTTATTGAAAACAAACAAAAAAGCCCTTAAAACGCATAAAAATACATAGAATTTTCATGCTAAAATGCACGTTAAAAACTCAAAACAAGTGGGATGCAGCATGGAACAACAGCCTCTATGTCATTTACCTAACAAATTATAACAATAGTTAAACTGTGTGTGATTTTCTTTTCAGTCCTCAAATGTCAGAAGTGGTCAGGCTCGGAAAAAGCTGTAACAAAGGAAAAGCTGCAAAATCTGTAATTTCATTTTGAAACAAGCAGAACTGTCAATAAACTGACAGTGAAAGTGGAAATTCAAACTCTATCAAATACTGTATCAGCTAACTACAGTAGCCTGCTGATTTCACTCTAGTTGTATGATGTACTAGATGAGTATGCTCCACATCCATATCCAGATGTCACTCTTTCATCCCTCCAGCTCAAGAAACACTATTCTTTTGGCCAAGCTTTCCTCACCGTATTTCTCCTGCAGCTGCTGACGGAGGACAGCATCAGCTGAGAGCAAAAGGCCGTCGTCATAGCGATTCCAAAATGGTCCAGAAACGGAGGAGGGATCTAAAAGCAGATCCAGTGCAGCAGGGATGTCTCCACTGGTCTTCATCAGGGCTTTGATCACACTAACTAAGTCCTAGAAGATAAACCGTTAGCAGAGGTCAAAAATTACTCGGAGAGAAAAACAGAGAATTGATTAATTAATTGATTAAGTGAAATCATTTGTATTATTACTTCTTTTCTGTATGTACATCTGTTTTATGGTTCACTTTAATTGCTAAACAGAATATAAGTAAGAATAAAGAGCTGCAGTGAGATTCTGGCTTGAAGTGAAGCTCAGCATGCTGCTGCTCTTTAGGATGCCATCTACCTTTCAGAAAAACAAAAACATAATGAAGTTTTAGTTACAATGCAAGCACAAAGATACATCTGCTCAGAAACACTCACCTGTTTTGTCTGGTCCATCAGCTCTATGATTCGCTCCCTGTCCTCCTCTAACTGGACTTGAGTCAGAGGAAGTGCAGCGTCTTCATTCACATATGGCTTTGCCGGAGCTGCTGTATTATCACCAGGGGACTGAGTGTCGTCTTCTTGAGAGTCGCTGTCAAATATAAACAGGTGGGCCCTGGAGGCTTTGTGGGCATCTTGGACATTCATCTGGAGGCTGGGTCTAGGTTGAGGGCTGGACTGTGTGGAAGAAGGATCTGCAGGTGTGTCTGAAGGTGGGACTGGGGGCTCTGTTGATGTGGACTGTATCATCACTGTTTCAACTGGATTTTGGAGATCTGGAGTTTCATCTTCACCAGACTAGGACACAGAAACACAGCCTAAATCTGTCACAGGGGTGAAACAACGAGGCCTGAGTTCCTACTCTAACCACTGACTGTATATACGATGGACGTCGTGTCACTAACACTTAGTGGATGTCCCATCCACTAACTTGGAGGAGGCGGGAATAAAGTTGACAGTGCCATTTTAGTTGTAATTTTACCCCTTTTAAATCACAACACTAGCTAACACATAAACACTGCTCTCACAAAGCACATAATTTGATGTTCAATTATTAACCAGTGGATCCCTCATAACTGACGTGAATACCACTACTGTAGTTGTGCAGAATGCAGGAGGGGAAGTCAGGACATGTGGAGGCATGGCTATCTCTCTTCTAGGAATTTCTGCAGCGTGTGCACTCGCCTTTGTTTTCAGCCGGGGCACCACAATGCTCATTACTATTATGAGTTTGACTGCAAAAATTAATATTATGAACCCTATGAAAATTCATGTTTAACCATCTGTAACACACAGACAATATAGATTACTTTGCCAACTTAAACGACTGGTGAACAAGCAAACCAGCTGCAGCCACAGGCCACTTTATTAGGTACATCTGTATGCCCTTCAATTCAACACTTCTGCCTTAACATCTGTGTTTATGAAGCTCAAAATGTTTCAGTTTTTGGCAAAATTAACATTAATGTATAAATTTGATTATATATTTATTATTGAGGTCATAGTTAAAGGTGGTGTTGTACTGGATTGCATTATATTCAGAGGTGTTCCTAATATTCTGATCATCTCATGTATGTAACTGGGGAGGACAAAGATATAGAGACACCTTTCTGTATGCACTGAAGGGGAATACAATTGAAGAGGTGTACCTAATAAAATGGACAGTGCGTGTGTATGAGCTGTATAAATACAACATTGCTTTGCAAAAAGTGCAGTGTTGTGTAGTGTTGCCGTACCTCACTTTCACTTTCAAACTCCTTTGTAGCCAACTCCAGAATCCCCAACTTTCTCTTTTCCTTTTTCTTCTCTCCCTTCTGTAGCAATGGATTCAATTCTTGATCTGAGAAACATAAAATGCAGAAAGATGGGGTCATGCAACCTACTGAATGTCACTGAATATTCTAAACAGACCTTTGTCTCATAAACACTTGTTTAAGATAAAGAATTACTGTCAAGGAATGACAAACCTGATGGTGGTCTTTCAGAGACGGTAGCTTCTTCACTCTCCTCTCGTTGACTTTCTTCCACCGCTGCTACAGTCTTTCCCTTGGCTCTCTTAGAAGGTGACTGGTCTACTGCTGAGTCTTTTTGGAGAGGAGACTTAACAGCTGATTTCGTTTTCTTCAGTGGCTGGGGGGATGATGATGGTTTTTCAGCAGAAGTGGATGATGATCTAAGTTTTTTCCCATAAGTTTCAGGCGACGATGACGGCTCAAGCACAAGCTGCCTGCGTGTTATTCGACGCTGCGGTTGTTCCACCATGGGCGAATCCAGCACAGTTCCTTTTTGTGGAGAGATGACTGATTGTGCTTTTGCTCTTTTTGGCTCTGTGCTCTCAGCTGGAATGGGGTGGACATCTGTCTGTGAATCCAAACAGAGCCCCTTAGGTTGCGGGGAGCCTGATGTTTCAGTGGCTGCTATTTCTGCTTGTGTGCTTTCAGCTGCTGGGACATCAGTCTGTGGCTTCACATGTTGCACTTCTTCTTGAAGAGAGCTGCATGTTTGATCTTCTACATTGGCTGGCGTGCTGTCAACTGCTATGGGCTGGGCATCGATCTATGGAGATGCCAAACCTGTCCTGCTCAGTTCATTTCAGTTTATTACTAAATCACATACCAACATTATGTCTCTGAATCACTGCTTATGGTACCTACAGATGTGGTTCAAAATACTGGTACACTTTGACTTAAAAGACAAATTACTTTGAAATAAGTTGAAATCCACAAAAGTAACCGGCATCTACTTTCCTCTATTCCACGTTTAATAGAACAGATACTGTATATTGCATTGGATTTTTGATGTAAAATATGATTTTGAATACTACAGCAACAGCAAAAATTAGCAAAAATATCTCTGTAAAGTTTCTATAAATCTTAGTAGGCGACCTATTCTTGTGTTCAGTCTGGAGTTAATTTTCCTCTTACAGCCACGCTCAGTCCCATGGGCCTTTAACTATTTAATAATATTAGTAACTCTGGTCAGAGGAACATCAGGTTGCTGAGATATGGTGTTATAACTGTTACCTTGGCAAATATTTTCTTCCTTATCTGCTCATATAGCTCTCTTCTTTTCTTTCTCTTGTCCATGTTCAGTGTGGTGTAAACAGCAATACCCAACAGCACAATGACTCCTTTTCTCTATTTAAATAGGCTGAATGACTGACTACAGGATTGAAGACACCTCTGATACTAGCTGAATAATCTTCTTGAATTATCATTACAATCCACTTCTGTTCAGGTAATCTTATAAGATCTTTGTACAATAAACAAGGACTCAGCACTTTTCACAGCTTTTTGGTTTTTATCTAGAACAACCCAAAACTATGCAGATATGCATGGCAGCAGAGCTTTTAATTTTGGCACCATCAGGAAGAATAGAGCATTGTTCCAGTGAGGTATAAGGATACCATACTTGTAGTTGCGTCTGTGTATACAGTACGTACTTTAACAGTGGAGTTTAGAGCAGTGAGTTCTGATTCCTACCTGCATTAGGTCTGTTTCCACTGAATGTGTCTGAAGATGGTCTGTTGCTGGTGAATGTGGAGGAGGTACAGCACCCTCTTCAGTTTCCTTATCTCCCTCTTCCTATAAACAGACAGATAAGTGACTTTAGGCTTCATGTATCTAAAAAAAATTGGATATGAACAGTTTGCACTTATAGAAAGCATGTAAATAAAATATGTTGCAATATAGTGCAAATGTTTTCATCATTATTGAGTCACAGTGAATCCAATATGCAGAAATAGATGATGCAACACCTTCCAGGTAAATTACCTTTGTTTTCTCCTTTATGGTTTTCACCTCCTCAACCCCAGATAGTTTCTTAGCCAGTTGTGTTTTATAACGATGTTTCATCGACTGCCAACTGTGACTGGTCACACACTTCTTCTCCATCTCTTGCCAAAGTCGGTTTCCCCCAGTCTGTGTCATGTGATTTCTAACATAACTCAAAATGGCAGCGTCCTCTTCAGGGGTGTAGGCAGCCCTGCCTAATAATAATTGAAGACATACATCAGGAGATTTATATAAATAAACAATTTTAATGTATATTCCTGCTATGAGAATACATACTTATTACTAAACAGATTCTAAGAGCTTTTTTTGTGTTGATTTGGGTGTTACCAGGTCTATGCATAGAATGTCAATACAGAATCAAGAGCAGAAGAAATACTAACAAAAAGGAAAGTTATGTGTTTACATCATACCTCCTAAGAGTCCAGGAGAGCCCTCTTTGCTGTTGTTGAGCCTAGCAGAATGTCTCAGGACCACCTCAGGCTTTAACCTGTAGTGCTCTACATCCAGCTGTTCACCCCTCTCAACACAATCGTAAATATACTGGGTGGACACGTACCTGAGAAGAACATGAATGGTAGCTTCACTTACATGCTTTCAATTGGTTACACAGTAACAACTTTAGCAAAATTATCTAGCTGCTCACACAGACGTACGTGCTTCAGCTTGCTGTGCTCAAAGTGTTGTCATTAGAAAGGAGGCATAAAATGTAAAATAGGAAGCCATGTTAGTACAAAGAACATTCTTCCACTAACATCATTAAACTGTCACACACTTGGCAGTAATATTCTGTTCACTCCTATCAATGATACAAGTAATGTGAACTTAGGCATGTTTAACCTGAACTGAGCCTGAATAGACTAAGCAGTACTTCTCACTTTGTAATGGTACCTACCAGCGAGCAGACGTTTCAGGAACAGAGCCTCTTTCCTCAGGGTCAATCAGCAGGATTGCTCCAGACCGCTGAACATTACACAGCAGCCCTCCTCCTGCTGTGATGAGCGGCTGGAGCTTAACTTTGTTGGGACTCGGTCGCAGGAAGAAAGACATGGGTTCACCATCCACAGTCATGAAGAGAACTGGGGAGATGTCAGATTTGGCAACATGCCGCCGTTTGGACAACATGCTCAGAACGTCCCACCTGGTGGAAGAGAGGAAATTACAGAGTAGACAATACTTAACATGTCTAATATTAAAGTTGCCCTGTGACTCATTGTGAGTGTGACCATTCAACCATTTACCATCAGAACCTGTAACTCAACACATATTACAGTAAAAACCATGTACAATAACATATTTCAACAATGTATTCTCATGATAAATCTCTAGTTATAAAATGAACAATTATTTCTTGACACTATACAGTTGGAACTAAATTGATTTACTGATTAATTGATTAGATGAAAAAAATTAATCAGCAACTAGCTTGATGACTGCTTAAGTCATTTTTCAAGTAACAATGCCAAACATCTAATGGTTATATCACCTCGAATGTGTCTTACATTTTATTAAATTGAATATCTTCATTGTTTTGAATAAGACAAACAAAAAACAGATTCATCAAAAATGAAAGCAATCCTTTGTTGCAGCTGTTTACTCAATTGCCAGTTTATCAGCAAAATGCATCTAAAATAATGCAATCTAATGCACCAGTAGTGCAATAAATTGCACATATAGATATCAGGTTTTGTCAAAAACCTTTAGTATTATTACCTCTGAAATTCATTTTGCAGGATGCAGTTTGTGGTGCTACTGATTTTTGATTAATTTGTCTGTCTCTTCCTAATATTATGTCAAATTCATTTATATCAATGACGGTAGTTACATGCAAGGTTTTAGCATTCAACTGCACTGTCGAGCCTGTCAGTGAAAGTGTAGGCCAAGGTTGGTGGGATTTGGCAAGAAGCACTCAAACTCACATGCAGTTGCTTAAAAGATCCTTTTACTGTAACGTTCACCTAGAGTTATAGGTTAACGTTTTATTTCTTGCTAGACTGTGGCTAACACATAGGCTAACGTAACAACAGTTAACTTGTTGGGAAAGGTTGTCATATGTTACACATTAACATTATTAGTTAGACGTAAGAAACTAAACACAGCATTTAACGCTAAGCACGTTTATCGTCTAAATTTAACAGCTAGGTAGCGAAGTCTGGTCTGCACCTTTAGCTTCAACGTAGCCCAATTAATGGCACACTTTACAAGAAAACTGCTGCCAAATTACCTAGTGTTATGGTATAAAAACTCGTCTTAGAATATACAATGAATTTACAATGCGGTTTGTTGACTTCCTACGTGAACTTCCCGCCGCGAAAAAAAACCAAAAAAAAAAAACCAAAACATAATCCGCTTCCGGGTATTTTTCTTCTTCAGCGAATTGCAACCAGAAAGTGTTGCATTACCGCCACCTCTGTCGGTTGTAGGCTACTGGATTTTGTTCCTATCACAAACACTTTTAATACATTTCCCACATTGCTAGAAGTGGAAATACGATTTCCTCTATTGGATGCGACACTTCATACAGTCTCTTCTTGACTAAAGCTAAAGTATGGTTTACAATGCCTTAACTGAAATATAAAATAGATGTTTAAATGTTCCAGTTTATTTATTCAAAAATAAAACCAAGAATTAGCAGAATCAGAAAAGATGAAAACAAAATAAAGCAAATAAAAGATATAAAGCAATTACTTTAAATTACAGTCCACGATTACAGCACAATGTGAAAATGGCCCTTTTCCACAGCGGTTTGTCATGTTATACTTGGAGAAGGCGTGACTAACACATTAAAATGACACATGAAATTGTGTCACACCCTGCTGTGGTGTGTCAATAGTCTGACAGTGTGCCACTATGCACAATACCAGGAGACAAAATTCAACCATTAATTTTCCCTTTTAAGCCTACGTTTTTCCCTAATATGAGATGTCAAAACATCAAAAAGGCCTATTGTTTTAAATGATGAATCTGAAATGCTTTTGTTGAATTCAAATTCTTATAGTAAGTTGTATTCTATTAGCGGTTATTCTAAATTGCCATCTCTCCTAGAATATAGAATGTACACTATTATATACTGTAATGTAAACTTAACTAAGCTAAAAAATAAACCAATTCTTATGGAGGATGATTAATTCCACACATGGGCACATCATATGCGACTTAAAACTGTTCTGAAAATATTATATCATTTACATTTTCACTTAAAAATATGCACTTTAATGTGAGCAAAAATAACTGAGTAATTTCTTTCTGGGTTGTTTAAATACTATACAAGGTTGGGACCACATTTAGTACTCGTGATTTGATGTTCAAAGAAAATTACACAAATTATCATCATTCCGCATAAACAACCTAGCTGAGCTATGAGCTTGCTTCACTGGAGAAAAATGATATATCTGAAATCAAACACACAGACACTGACAGTCCAGTGAGAGACATCACTTCTGATCAGTTGCTGCTCACCCTGAAGTAGGTGCTGCTTTGAAAGACATGAGGGATAACTGCTACACTGATTTCAGTACCTCAAAATGACTCAAAATAACCACAAAGAGATGCAAAACCATCCCAAAGAGACCCACATCAACTACAAAGAGTCAAAAAATGACCATAGCGTGACATAAAACAATCACAAGAGATGCCATAAAGAGAAGCAGAAAAACTGAAGACACTGTGATAAACTGGTGACCTGTCCATGGTGTACCCTGCCACTCATCTAGTGTCAGCTGGAATTGGCTCCAGCTCACCAGCAATCCTCTGCAGAATAAGTAATATAGACAACTGAGGGATGGATATTTTTGTATTCATTTGTAAATTTGACTTTCTTGAGTTCATTGATTTTTTTTTATATACTAAAAAGCTGGAGAATAAATGTTGTACTATAATGTTACCTTTCAGTATGATTGTGCCCCGTGTTGATCCAGTTCTCTCTAAAAGACCAAAATCGAATCAATATTTTCTAACAAATTTACCAACTCATAATTATTATTACAATTTGTGAAATACAGCTTTGACTTTACTTATTTTTGAGTTCATCAAGGCCGGAGGCCATTGGAAGGAATTGGGCTGGTCTGTTTACTGTATCACTTCACTGACCTTACCTCCCTCACAGTCCTGACAGCTACAGTATATTATTGTTATTGGCCTCTATTGTTCATCTCCCTCTTCAGCTCAGCCAGCTGAAACAATACAACAACCACTGAGGTGCTCCAACTCCTCCAAACTGCTGCATGTTTGTGGACAATCTGTAATAATTAGATAGACGGCAAGATACACTCCTGCAAGCTAAATATAATCCATCATTGACCCAGACCTCTGCCCTGAAATAATCCACTCATTCCGCGCATCATCAAAGTAAAGGGCTGATCTGATGTGTAAATACCAGTTAGAAATAGCAACTGTAGAGAGGATGTGTGGTTATCACAGTGTAGCAGTTTAGTTTGGTTTGGCTGAAGGAAATCCCCTGGCTCTGATGCTCATACTTGTTTCCAGCCTGCAGAGGGAGATATTGAGCTGTTTAACTGAACATCAGGGCTGTCACTTAACTTTGATCCAGAGGAACAGATTGATATGCTTGCAGAAAATAAAATGTAGGCATTGTATTCTGATCTGCTTAAAGGATAACTTTTTTTTGACCTGCTGTATTACCCCTAAAAGAGGGTATGGGGACTCTACAGCTAGTGCTAATTTGACTATCACTACCTCTGTTGTAGAGATATGGAGAAACAAACCCGTGTTAAACTGCACTGTTGGTACAATCAGCTATTCTCTGAAAATGCTCTGGATAAACATGATTTCAGTCAAATCATTTTTCACACCATTACAGCTACCTGCATAGAATGATCACCCGATTACCTGGTCTTCAGGTCAGCTGGCAAGTTGACCCGTATGTATATGGAGAAAGATCAAGACTCCTGTGCCAGTGTTGTTTTGCCTTGTCATTGGCACACTGTGATCCTCCCTGTGGCTTCTTAAGTACTACAGACTAAAATGACCCAGGTCACTCTGAACCTCTGTGAGGCTGCAGTTGTATTATACTGTAGCTGTAAAACCAGATAACCAGATCAACCAACTAGACAGGGAAAAGATGTCTCTGGAACTAGTGAGCCCTCCCCTAAGCTCTAGTTTGGAGTAGATGGTAGGCTACACTGTCAACATCAGAGGGACTAACCTTGTTTTGTCAGTGCCAGGCTCTCCCTGCAGAAATTTTAGCAATTTTAGGCATATTTCAGCAATTATTCCCAGATTTCAAATCTTAGGCAGAGTCCATTCAATAGTGTTTCTGCAGACTTGGGAAAGTTCACATACTAGGACCAATGATCAGTACAGGTCGGTGTGAGAAAGGACTTCAAACTGTCACACCTACTAAAAAAGTCTCCTTCATAGTGAAATAGATAGTCTGAGCGCAGAAACAGGCGGTTACTGGTTTGAGCTGAGTTTGCTGGAAAAGTACTTGACAATTCAGTGCATAGAGATAGCGACAATGTTGTGTATGCAGCATTCATAAACATCCTGTACATTGATTGTAAAACTCCCTGAGGCAATTTTGTGATTTGTGATATTGGACTATACAAATAAAAATGGACTTGACTTTGCTTAAAGATTTTACAACAACCTGAGGTTATCCCAGTCACTTTGGCTACATAATAAGAAAAGTTTTTTTAGTTTCTTTTTGGTGTTCTTTGTATAGGATTTGGACGGGGTGTGTTTTGGATCTAATCTTCTGCTCCACTGTTTGATTTCATATCAAGAAAACACTTTTTTAAAAGGAGAAATGCCCATGCTAGAATCTTAAAAGGTTGGAGCTGGCTTGTCTATGCAGCATGTTTGAATAAATACTGAGAGACTAAATATCTTTTTTTCATGTGATCAAACAACTTAGGAATGATGCACAGTATGTTCACTAACAAAACTGTCTCATGAGTCACATGACAACCCCTGTAACCAGGTCATCATAGTGTATTAACCTTCCAGTCAGGCTGTTATTAACCATGTTATATATATAAATGAGTGAATCACACCGAAAAAACAAATCCACCTGTTGAAGTCAATCAATGTTTGAACAATGTTGGTTGGGCAGAAGCACATGGTGACCTTTCGAAATCACAAGAGCATTTCTATATTTTTGCAGAATGTCCTTTTGATGTATATCAAGAAACTTTCTTGTTGACTATATCCAGCTACCCATATGCCCATACCAGTGATTTGGCACTGTTATATAAACATGTTGATTTGACTGTAAATGTGTCAAATTTATCCAAAAGTTTAATCTGCAGAAAATCTTACTAAGTACTGTAAAGAAAGAGCTGTACTATAAAAAGCCAATAAATGTTTCACAATACTCCCTTTTTCTAACTGGGTTGAACAATGTTTCTACTACAGTAGTGTTTTTCTTTTGCTCCCAAGAACATAAAGTACCTTAATATAAATACTTGAGGTGTTTTTTGTGTAAACACCGGATTAAACAGGACTATTTTATTTATTTTCCAGTGGCAGGTGTATCATATCAGGCTTGTACAAGTATCGCACACTGGTAGGAGTCAAATTCCTTTTTGATACTAAAACAAAAGAGAATTTAAAAACCCCCTGCTGTTTCTTAAGGAACGCAAGCCTCAACAAAACTTCCGCTATCTCTGGACTTGGCTTTGTGTGGACAGACGACAGCAGATATACTTTCTGAAAATTATTTGGCAGATTAGCTCAAGAATCTTGGCAGGGTTCGGTCTGCAGAGACTGGCCATAACAAAGTGAGGATATGCTGACTCAACATAAAGAGCACATTTAATTACCATCATCATCCACCATCCAAGAGGACCATCCGGCCCTAAGCCAGAAACCCCCCAGCATCATCTGCCAATTCAAAGGCTTATTTTTAGGGCCAAACTTCTCCTTTACTCTGCTACTTTCTCACGTCCTCCCAGCCATTCTCTCAGCGCCTATGCCTCGCTTTTTCATTCTCTCATCGTCTCTTGGTTTCACAGCTCACACACATATTCCTCCTATTCCTGACCAAATCGTTTTATATTTTTTTATATATTTTTTCACTGAGGGTGAAAAAAGCTTCAGTGAAGGTGGTGAAGGAGGAATTTCATTTATCTACTGAAGTAAAAGTAGCCGAAGATTGTTTAGAAGTTTCAAAAAGTCGTGTTACTACATTATAGTAGTGAATTATTATCATTGATGCATTAATGTGTAACTAGGTTTTTAGTAACAACCAGACTGGTTCAGTCTATATCAGTGATACATATTAATAACCTCCTCTGATGTTCTGTATGTAGAACGTTAATTTATAAAGTAACTAGCAACTAAAAGCTGATAATAATAATAAGTATAAAGTGACATCTGAAGGAAATATTTAAATGAATGCATCAAATTTGGACTTAACTTATTTTGTTACACTCCTCCACTGCCCACAGATGTACAGAGAGACAAAGACACTCATAAGCCCAAATTGTTGCTCAGTAGCAAACAAGTCTTTGCGACCCTCACATGCTCATGTATTTCTAGATCTTATGCATCTTCCTCATTGTAATATTTGATGGCATATTTTTGATTAAATGAACAAGGAGCCGAAGTGGGATGGGAAACAAAGACACACGTGACAGTGTCAAAAAAGGGTAATACAAATTTGACTGTTGTATATTTTTAAATCAAAATGTTAGTGTGAATGTGAATCTATAAAGAAGCACAGCTAAGGCTTTAAAATGGCTCTATCACTATTTTGTGCATTATCAGTGACTACAGCCACCTCAGCTTAGCTTCTTTCAGCTCATTGTTTTGGTTTTCTGGCCCAATTGTACAGTTTTTGTCCACACTCACTGCTGTCATGTCTTTGTTTTCAGTGATTAGCTGATTTCAGTGAGAAATAAAAATCTCTAACTCACTATCCGTAACCTGCTCAGCAGCAAATGGCAAACAGGCAACTTTGCAACTATTGGAGCTGTTGATCATAGTGAGGGATTTCACAGCTAAAAAGTCAGACATTTTGCTCAGGATTTGGTGAATAACAAATCTGAGTAAAAAGGAATATTAAACTTACTTTTATCAGGTGGACACAAACACATCTCCAAAAGAATGATAAATGAATTTTACTGAGATTTAAAAGAAAAGCATCTGCTGTGAGGGAGAAAAAACATGAAAGGAACCAGGCAACAGTTCTGCTCTGGGTAAATGAACCTGTGCTGTGTTGAGGTGACATGATGCCTCAGCGGGTTAAAAAGTGTGATGTCCTAAGTTTGACTCTGACCTAGTTGTCGCATGCTATTCCCACTCTACCCTGTGTTTTCAGGTCTCTTGGTAAATTGATCTGTCTAAAAAGAAACAAAAGGTGATACCCTCTTTAAAAAATTGCATGTCCAAAAACCTTCAACTCAAAAAGAGAAAAGCATCTCTCTACTCGTTGGTCAAGGTTTTACTCACAGACGGATGTTGTAATCGTTCCATCAAGATGTGTGTGTTTGTTAAGAGACACTGAAGACTGCTGAGGTAATGACTGTGAAACAGCACTGTATCAGCAGTAAAGTCCTACGAGTTACTGGGCTCCACTATCTCCCAGGACCTGAAGTGGACATCCAACATCAGGACCATCATCAAGAAGGCACAGCAGAGGATCCTGAGCCAGCTCAGGAAGTTCGACCTGCCTCAGGAGCTGCTGATACAGTTCTACAGAGGAATCATCGAGTCTGTTCTCTGCACCTCCATCACTGTCTGGTTTGGCTCAGCAACCAAACAGGACAAGTACAGACTTCAGCGGACAGTCAGGACTGAAGAAAAGGTCATTGGTGTGAGCCTGCCCTCCATGGAGGACCTGTACACCTCACGGGTCAAAAGGAGGGCAGAGAGGATCACTGCAAACTCCTCACACTCGGGACACAACCTGTTTGAACTCCTCCCCTCTGGACGGCGTTACAGGTCACTGTGCACCAAGACAACCAGGCACAGGGACAGTTTGTTCCCCCAGGCTATCGCTCTGATGAACACTTAACCAAAGACAGTATGATTAGACAATAACCCTCAGTGCAATACCTGTAAATATACCTCGTACAGTTCTCTAGTTTTAAGTACTCTGTTTTTATTCTTATTTATCTAATTTCAAAGAGCATTTCTTTGTTTCTCTGCATTGTTTACTGCCTGTTTATACTGCTTATTTTGCATTGTTTGCCCTGGTTGTTGCTTGTTAATACTGCTGATTTTGTTATATTACACAGCCTTATACTGGTTTACTGTTTACTTGCCCCTTGCATGGGGATATGAACATACACATTGAGAGTCAAATTCCTTGTGTGTCCGACACACCTGGCCAATAAAGCTGATTCTGATTTCCAAGAGTTCAGGTGAGTGGAATGCCTTCAAGGAAGACACTGTTTGGAAATGGTGTCTGACAGTAAACAAGCAAATACATTCACATGACTTAAAACAAGAGGCAGATTTCAAATAAAAAGTTAGAAAATATTTTATTTACACTCAATGGTGTTAATTCCCCCCCCCCCAAAAAAATCTACATCTGCTTGTTCAGACATAGTAGATAGACACTTTGCATAGATATAAAACAATTTCATTGTAAAAATTATAACTCAACCGAGTTTTAATAAAGCAACTAAGGACAAAAAACCAATTGTGTTTGACAGACAATTTAATCCATACAAAATAATACCAGTAAATAAATATTAAACATTATATATATATA